CCGGCGTTGCTCAAGTTGGCCATCTGCCAACTTGAAAACTCTTGCAGCCGAGTGCGCTGGCGAACTGCGCCCGTGTTTTCCATGGCGGATAATGACTTGCCCACTGCACAATTGGGACAAGGGCACTCTGCCTTACACCGGAACCCAGACTGCTGCAACAGCACAAGTAGGCAAAAATGAGCACTCATTACAATCACCGGAGACTGACTGTTAAAGTCACACTTGCACCCACTGAGTCGCCGGCTGGATTCACTCATCCAATCGCCCCAGCGGCCCTGATCACCATGTCGGCACAACCGACAAAGGAACTGACAGTTTCCACAACCGAGACGGGCATGATCTCACTTTCTTTTTAAGCTCAGTCAGTAACACCGGCAGCCAGGTTTAAAAGCACGAATTAAGCTGTGACTGCCAGCTGAAAGTGGGAATGTAACTATTAGCCTTTTCAAGGTAAGGACTGTGTTTCACTTCCAGCCAGCAGTCCAGTGTCGGGTCCAGGACTCTCTGGCTGGGCCAGTGTCGGGACACAAATTTCGACGGCTCAGAATCATTCATTGGAGCAGAACTGTTTGACCATGGACTTCGGGTTCAGTGTCGATGATCAACTGTACGTGTGCAGCTCATCCTGCATTTCCAGCAGTGCTTCAATCATGTACTCACGATCCCGGAATGGAGCATAGTAGGCTCGGTGGTTGATCCACCTGACAATGGCTTGTTCCATGGTCATCGAGGCAAAGGCCATGACTAGGACACAATAAGCAGCACAGGTCCTGTTAATGCCACCGTAGCAATGGACAAGCACACGAATTGGCCTCTTCTTGCCTCCACGCTTCCGACCACCTCCCTGAAGCTTCATCGCCTCCAACAAAGCAAGAGCATTACCGAGCTCACCAGGGAATGTCTCATCGGCCACCTTCAAGGCACTCTGCCTTCCATCGGCACTCTGCCTTCCATCAGCGGCTCTTCCGAACAGGCTGCCCATGTCACTTCCCTTGCTGAAGCCCTTGTCATAGGAGCAGCCATAGCCAAATGAGCCCTTCGTCGATGCCTTCTGGCTTTGCATGTGATTGGAAACCTGACAGGGGCCGCTGTAGCCCTTGCTGATTGTCTTGCCCTTGCCCCTGCCGCCATTGGCCTTGCCCATCATTTTGCCCTTGATGGCACTCTGCCTTTGACTCTGGCTGAACTCCTCTGCTGAGCGCTGCCAGCACATCATAATCTTTCTGAAATCTGAAATGAGGCGGCGCCAAATGCTCTTGAACTCATGACTTCTTTGTTCAGCATCAAAGTCATTGGCATGTGTTTGATCCCAGCCACCATACCGAAGATGTGCAGTGCCAAACGGTCCACAATTCGCCAAATACTGATACCAGTCCCATGGCTCAAAATTCCGAGGTCTGTCATCTGCATTCATAGAGATGACAATGTCAGGCTTGACCCGGAGCTGGTCATATCGGATCGGGCAACCAATACTGCCAACAAACAGTTGCCACTGGGGATGGTCGTAAATCAAAACATCATCCATGGGCCACGTCTCGACATCATGCTGGCATGGCCGAGGTGGCGGGATCGACCCAGGCAGCACATCTGTCTGGCCGGTCCATGCTTTGTACAACTTCATATCCATATCTCCGAAATCTGAGATGGCCTCAACTGCCAATTTGATTCGTTGATCCAATTGTGCAGCCCTTTGGATCTTTCGGAGCCCGGTGGTATAGTCGGCAGCTGATCTGCCACAGTGTAAACAATTCCACCGAAGTTGTTGCACGGCTTCGTTCCAGTAATCACTGCCAAGGTCAATGTGATTGGCCTGATGATGGTCAGCAGCAGAACTCTGGCACTCTGCCTCGGAACTCCCTGAGCACCTTGAAACGGTCGTCGGCATCACTGCTTTCATCGAGCACACAATTGTCCAACGATTAAAACATTAACAGTGACTAATGCATCACTATACAGTACATTAACCAATGATATGTAACATTGTGTTACTACTGTTACATCAGTATGAATGAATCACTTGATTCCCTGGCCGGCAGATGTCGATCATGTATGGTGCAAGGCAACTCACTGACAGACTATGGCAGGCAGGCAGCCAGCCTCGGAGACAGCAGGGTCCTGAGGACATCACTGCCACCCGGCACTGTGTAGTCAGCATGTCATGCTGGGTAACCTTTTTGAATCCAAGTTGCGCACACTACCGCTGAGGTCTCAAATCGGACAGTCTAGCTCTGCTGGCGAGATCGTCGAATTCAAAATCCTCTAAGCACACGCAAACCCGGCACTCTGCCTTCCCCAACATCCGTAATACGGTCTCGGAGGCTGTACAAACACGACAAATCATTGATTCAGTGACGACACAAATTCGTCTGACACATGTAATGTAAAATTCCTGGCACTCTGCCTTGCCGCACAAATCTCGGAACGAGTACGCACAGGATCATGTCATTGATATGCCAGTCTACTTGCAAGACTTGCCCACGCTCTTCAGAATTCAGAAACATCCACAATGTCGAAAAGGACTCCTCTAGCAGCTCGTCGAAATAAATCACATAATCATCGTCGTCAAAACTGTCCGCGACCGAGCCCACAAACGAACCCCCAAACGCCGCAGTGCTTGCAAACTCGCCAACAGCCAATAAGTCCGAGACCGAGCCCAGAGACTCACTGTCACTCCACGACGTCGACGACATCTGCCGGCTTGCACGGAGGCCTACTACGACTTAGACTAGAGACAGAGCAGGTCGTCGGGATCACTGCTTTCATCGAGCACACTTCAATTGTCCAAAGATTAAAACATTAACAGTGACTAATGCATCACTATACAGTACATTAATCAATGATATGTAACATTGTGTTACTACTGTTACATCAGTATGAATGAATCACTTGATTCCCTGGCCGGCAGACAGATGTCGATCATGTATGGTGCAAGGCAACTCACTGACAGACTATGCAGGCAGGCAGGCAGGCAGCCAGCCTCGGAGACAGCAGGGTCCTGAGGACATCACTGCCACCCGGCACTGTGTAGTCAGCATGTCATGCTGGGTAACCGTTTTGAATCCAAGTTGCGCACACTACCGCTGAGGTCTCAAATCGGACAGTCTAGCTCTGCTGGCGAGATCGTCGAATTCAAAATCCTCTAAACACACGCAAACCCGGCACTCTGCCTTCCCCAACATCCGTAATACGGTCTCGGAGGCTGTACAAACACGACAAATCATTGAAGCAGTAACGCCAGAAATTCGTCTGACACATTGTAATATAAAATTCCTGGCACTCTGCCTTGCCGAAAATCCCGCCGAAGTCTCGGAAAGAGTGTGAACATGATCTGCTCATTGACAGACCAGGCTACTTGCAAGACTTGCCCACGCTCTTGAGAATTCAGAAACATCCAGAATGTCGTAAAGCACTCCTCTAGCATCGTGTCGAACGGAATCACAGAATCATCGTCGTCAAAACTGTCCGCGACCGAGCCCGCAGTGCTTGCACCCTCATCGTCAACCAGAACCCAGTCCGAGCCCAGAGACTCACTGTCACTCCACGACGTCGACGACATCTGCCGGCTTGCAGGGGGGCCTACTACGACTTAGACTTGAGACAGAGCAGCTGTAACACGACTATAGTAGATTACGCAGGGCAACAGCGAGCACAACTGCTGCAGCGGCAAGTTGCGATACATGACACGCTCACTGACTATGCAAGGCAGCTTGTCCTCTGCGATGGCAGCATGTCCTCAGGATCCTCGTCATGAGCCTCGGTGCCAGGACTGTACCATAATAATGGAAGTAGCTGAAGCAAGCTGATGCTGAGATCCCAGCAGTTGGCATCCACTTCTCGATGGGCTGGAAGCCGATGAAGACCGATGGGAGAGAAGGAAATGGAAGAGAAGGCGTTCACTAGGCTTGGATTCAAACCGAACACTTAGACCTGGCCAACGGTGTGGGGAGCAACCCCGATGGGGCAGGGACTTAAGTAAGGCAACCTCGAGAGGCTCGACTGGCACTCTGCCTCTGTCGATCCAAGTCGCAAGGCTCCCTAACTAACGTGACAAGCATGGATGGCCTCCCCTCCTGGTTGGGAGAAAAATAAAAAAGCCACAACCACTGGACCACCCCACCCGGCACTTTAGCCCATGTGCCCGGGTGTCATATGCCACTGCCCTGGCACGTTGGCCCCAAGGCGGTCCAGGTACCATCGACAACACCTGACACCCGGCCAACGGTGTCCACGAACCGAGATGGGCAGTCGATCCGTGTGGGTAAGGTGGCACTCTGCCTCTGTCGCTCCAAGTCGCAAGGCTCACTAACGTGACAAGCATGGATGGCCTCCCCTCCTGGTTGGGAGAACAGATCAAGCCACAACCACTGGACCACCCCACCCGGCACTTTAGCCCATGTGCCCGGGTGTCATATGCCACTGCCCTGGCACGTTGGCCCCAAGGCGGTCCAGGTACCATCGACTCAACACCTGACACCCGGCCAACGGTGCCCACGAACCGAGAAGGGCAGTCGATCCGCGTGGGTAAGGGCAAGATCTCAAGGCAAGTCAACATGTCACTACGGCCTCCCTTCTTTGTTCAATCACAACCCAAAACTATTTAAAAAGATTAAATTTTAAAAATTATTAACTTCAACAACAAATAAACAACAATTTTGTAGACATACAGCAGCAGGAAACCAGGTAGAACAACAGGAAGCCAATTGACTCACTCAGAAACAAAATTCACAAACATGTATTTTTTACACCAAAAATAAAATAAAAGAATTTTAACAACTGTAAAACACAAAAAAACCTATTTAAAAAACTTATAAATACAAAACAATACTTTTAAATACAAAAAACACTTTTAAACACAAATAAAGCCAACCACATACAAAAATGAGATTTTGGGTTCCTTTCATATAAGCCTTGTTGATCTAAACCCTGTGGTTCTGGTTCGGCGCAAAGGGTTAAGGACTATGCATGCAAAGCCCAAAGCCCGATCTAGTGTGCCGAGGCAGATGGCGGACAATTTCTTCCAGTGGGCAGCAGCGAGAAAGTTGCTCCGAACCAACGAAGTGCATAAGTGTGAGGAAGCGAAGCTGATCCTGGAGGAGACGTTTGAAGTGGAGAACGAGAAAGGTGACCGCACCGACCTCTCGGGGACGGCCGAGATTGAGGCCCGTCACTTTATAGCAGCCCTCAAACATCCCCTAAACCTAGACAGAGAGACAGATAAAAATAAGAGAAAGGGAGAGAGAGAGAGAGAGAGAGAGAGAGAGAGAGAGAGAGAGAGAGAGAGAGAGAGAGAGAGAGAGAGAGAGAGAGAGAGAGAGAGAGAGAGAGAGAGAGAGAGAGAGAGAGAGAGAGAGAGAGAGAGAGAGAGAGAGAGAGAGAGAGAGAGAGAGAGAGCGAGAGAGAGAGAGAGAGAGAGTTATGTAATTTAAGGTGTCCGGGGGCGGACACCTTAAAGTAAGGTGTCCGGGCCCGTTTTCCTAGGCCCCAAGAACCGGCTGATGCTCATGATGCTCGCTCTGATCGTCGGGTGGGGCGGGGTGGGGTGTGGGATTTAAGCACCTTGTCATGTAATTTAAGGTGTCCGGGGGCGGACACCTTAAAGTAAGGAGGTTCCCCGGTGACCCCACTTTGTTCCCCGGTGTCCGGGGAGATTGAGAGAGAGAGAGAGAGAGAGAGAGAGAGAGAGAGAGAGCGAGTGAGAAAGAGGGAGAGCGGGAGAGGGGAGAGAGCGAGCTAGAGTTCCGATAGTGGTGGCCGGTCAGGAGTGACAAGCCTTATGTACTCGAAATGCATGTGTGTGTCTCTGTGTATGTGTCTGTGTGTTTCTGTGGTATCTAGAATATAAAGAGCCATGGAAGCCAGAATAGCCGAGTATCAATCCAGTGCAGATGTGATCGAATATGCATGCATATATATGTCATTGCATGTGTCTAGACGTGGGCCATGGACTAGTGTACACACCATCTTCACAGGACGTGGACAATGCTTTGCTGGACGACTTTGACTCGTCGACTGGGGTTCCCGGCACCACGGAAGTTGCCGAATCCACAAAGCTTGCAGAAGCCAATGCATCTGGCAACAAGCAGCTTGATATGTGTGCACATACATAATGACCTTAACATGTGCTGTTTGACACTCGGTGTAAACCCTGTACAATACCCTACAACCCAGGATCGTGTTCCCAACCTTGGCAAAGAATGACAGCCCGGTCACGATTTTGCCTACATTCTTGTCGGTGCTGGGCAAGAAGATTGAGCTGGCAACCACCCAGCAGGATTGGTGATGCATTCGTGAGGGGATTCGTGCATCTAGACCAAGTGTACATGTGCGAGCACTTTTGAGGAGAAGTTGGCCAAGTCCGGCATACCTCGTGCAACCATGACTCTCGTCGACCAATATATATGTATTGTGTACAGTCATGTGCATGGTACGCTCGCATGCACATGCACTTGCTTAGCGCTTCCCCCTGCATCTCAGGATGGCCGACCAAATGAGAACCATCTTGGACGAGATGAACCGGTGCTACACGGCTTTGAGTGAAGTGGAAGCAGAAGTCCTAGTGGACACAGAGGGGAAGCTCCTGAACTTAATTATGCGATCCTATACCTATAGCTTCGATCGCTACTTAGATGTAACATATATATATATATATATATATATATATTAATATGCTGTGCCCGAACTAGCCCAAACCCAGGAATCTGGAAACCAACAAGCAGAAAATCATGAGCCTCTTCGTGAAGTGCACGAAACAGGATGTGACACTGAACAACTACAAGACCCGGGCCAGGAGTCTTGTCTGAACTTTTGCAAGCGCGCAACCACCAACTGATAATTGGCAATTCTCAGGAATATCAAGGCCAGCCCCAGCGAGAAGGTCGGCGGTTCCAAGCCCAAGTCACCGAAGAAGAAGAAAGGCCCAAAGGCCAAAGATGACAAGTCGGAAAAGCCCGCAGGCAAGCATGTGAAAAAGGATAAGAAGGAGAAGAAGTCGAAGAAGAACAAGGAAGAGTGACCGGTGTTGAGTGCTTCGCAACTTTTCTAGATTTGCTGTGTGCCTAAAGACACATAGAAGTTCTGAGGATCCTCGATCTCGGTTCTGCTGGGACCCGTCAATATGCATACATAATTACACGTACACTTTCTCTAGGCCGGGCCTAGGATTCAACATATATTGCTGGGGAAAGGGCTCCACGGATCCAAACGAGATCGGAAGATGCGGGGGAATCTGCATCATGCCCATGAAATTCGATCTAGCGTGATTTCCGCTGATCCAACCGAGTAGCGTGAAAAGACGTGGTTGCTTATCTGATGTGACCAGCACATGCATGAGATAGCTACCTTGACCCTAGACCCTGTATATACCCGGGCTTGTGGCGCAGGCCTCGAAGCACAAAGACGGGCTCGTGATCCCGCCTTCGAATACGGCCTGGGACCCGTGGCATATGCATGCAGCCACTTGAAAGATCTTGAAAGCGCATTACTATCGAAAGGGCTATGGTTGACTCAAGTTCTGAGGCCCACCTACTGATGAGGAGCCCTCCGATGCCTCCGATAGTGATGGCTTGGTTGGTGCTATTATGGGAGATGTTGAAAAGGGGGTTTCTTGGATGCACTCCTATCTCCTATCCGTCTATGCATAATATGCATGCATGTGTGCAAATATATCATGCTGTGCAGGCCGATGCCAAGAGTGTGGTCCGTTTGGCAAAAATCGCCAGCCGGAGGATGAGGAAGCTAGGCAGGATAGTGCAGGGTTTTATGACTCGTGTCGGGGGTTAGCTTTATGTGGGGCCTGGGGTTGAGGGCCGAGGAATTATGTTAAGCGGGCGAATGGTACTTTAGAGCCGCTGGATTTGTGCATTCTTCGGTCCCTAAACCCAACCCTAAAACTCTGTGTCTTCGACCCTATGTGACTTGTGTGGGGTTGTGTAATGCCGGGTTTTGTTAAAGTCGGAAGTCGGGCCTGGGAGCCCGGTGACCCATAGGGAGTTCGCGCCATCCCAAACCAAATATGTCTCACCAAAACCAATACATGATGCATAGCTTGGCTAAGCTGTGGTCTTTACAGTGTTGGTGCTTGGTGTGCAATGTGTCGTAACAACTGCAACAGCTAACACCAGAAACAATCCTTCGACCCACTACATGCAGCTTCAGGGCACTTTGAGTGCAACCCCGAAGTGTTAGAACAACATGCACTCGCACTCCAGATCGAAGACTTAGCAGGTCGGGTAAAAAAAATAACAAACATCCTAGATAATTTAGGGTTCACCCAATGGAACAGTTCTAACCCTGATACCCTCCGAGCTCCTGTACAGGAGTTGTCGATCCTCACTTGCAAGCCATTGGGAACCTGGCCACCGGCAAGGACTATCATAATGCGGCTCGGAATCTGCATAGTTATCTGCATTCCAATGGAAAAACATATCCGGTGCCAATCTCTGCTACCAGACTGAGACTCCGACGACCTAAGAAGGGTGGTGGTGAGTTTACAACAAACTATCCCCTGATCTACCTCTCGAGTTGGATGCGATGTATCCTAGAAGATGGTGGAGAATTTCTGTTGGGAGGCTGGACCACGGACCAGCCCCGGGAATACAAAGCGATGTTTGCACGATTCTGGGACCGATATGAGTGCGTGAATCAAGAACACCCGATTTATTTCGAGAAAACCTGGGAACAGAGGATGCATTGCATCCCCATTGCTGTTCATGGTGATGAAGGAAGAGGCCTAGGAAAACATCCTGTGCTAGTGGAAAGTTATCAACCTCTTTTGCCCTGGAGTGGAGAAAATCAGCTGAACATGGTTGGGTACCTTTCCCAAAATTCAAACTTTCGGGTCAAGTCTGTGGGTGTGGTTCTTTAGATAGATAGTCCGGCTATAAATGATCTAAACCGCAGCCCGACACTATACCACTGCAGCCAAGGCATTCCTTTACAACTAGGCTGCTGGCCTGCATCTTGCCCTCACAGTGTTACGCAAAACACGACAAGTCGGTGGATGGCCTCCACCAGGCCATGAGCAATGATCTCAGAGCCTTGTTCGAGAAAGGAGTTTCCGTTGAGGCAAGGGGTTTGGGCCGGTTTATTTTTATAATGGGTTTAGCTGCTATAGGGATATAAATGAGGCCAAGTGACGGTGTACTTAGGAATTTAGGGGCTTAGGGTAATCCAGCAGGTGCATGGAGAATGCATCACTTTCTTTGGGATCGCTGTTGGCGCAAAAGGAGATTGGCCGTATCTCAGAAAGTTGTATCATCTCGACACTGGTTTTACGAGTACGAGAAAGTGTCATCTCTGTCCGGGCAATGTTACGTGGGCATATATCAGTCATACTTTCTGTGTAAGCTGGTTGTGTTCTGATGCGAATCAAGAAACCCCTAGCTACATCCATCTGCATGAACGACTCCCAAAGGATTGGTGGGACGTCGGGCCGACAAGTGAGTTGCGAACATGGATGGACCCATCCCCGAATCCTTTCGCTCGACAGTGGGCTGCTTTCCGGGATATTCCAGGTATGGACAAACCTGAAATGATACAACCTGACATAATGCATTGTTACAATCTTGGTTTCGGCAAGGACCTTGCAGCTTCCGGTGTTATCAAAGCTTGTCATGAAGGTATTTTCGGTGAAGGCTCCCTGCCACTGCGGGCAGAGAATGCATTTGGTGCATTCATGTCATGGTGCGAACAACACGATCGTACCAGCTCCATCAAAGAGTTCGACCTCAAAAAAACCTTCAAGATGAAGACGTACCTTGCCCCAAGAAGTTATTTAATGAAGCCAATCCAGTCACACCGCCAGCGATACCATCCCGAAGTCCGGAACCCTGCGTCAATCCTAGGCAGCGGCAATTCCCCACGGGGTGCGGGAAGGCGTATGATGTCGCCTTGGCCAGCAAATGGTTGGCTCACGAGCTCGGTGTGCGCAGAGGGGCACCCTAGCTTGTACTTGACCGAGTAAAGCTTTATGTGGGTTTCGGGGTTAAGTGTTAAGTAAATAACCCTGGACCCCATAAGTTCTCTAAGAGTTTATATACGATACCCCAGAAGTGTACTTATACAAGGCTACTTAGGCACCGTCAGAACTTCCCTTACTCCTATGCCCCAGCGAAGCTTCCTAAATCCACGTAGCCGGGTATAAACTCTCTGTAGGAGAATGGCCTCTCCGATTCGCTGGAGCTCTTGCATTTTACGCTGGAGTCTGGAAACCGATTCTTTCACGCACTCTACAATCACGGGGCCTGGATACCGGTTGAAGTGGCAAGGACGGCTGTGCAGAATGGTTACAACCTGCTCGAAAGCTGACTGCAGAATGTGTTTTTTTTAGTGCTGCTTTTGCAAATCTTATGCTATATATGTGCATGATATACTTCCCGGGCCCTATATATATATATATATATATATATATATCCAAGGAAGGATACTGTGGCTTGGCGCGAGATGCTGCCGAGAGCAACATGGTTCTCTACAAAATCAGACCAAAGGTCCACCTAGTGGGCCATATCGTGCTTCCCGGCTAACATTTTGCATGTTTGCTTGGCCAGCACAAAGTACACGCACAAATCGCTTCCGAGGAACACAATGCATCAGCAGATCAGATCCGATATCTGCAGTGGATTCGTGCTGAACCCATGTTGTTTCTGTGTTGCAATAAGCTCTAGGCTGGCTGATCAAAGCTTCGAGCAACTCCCAACAACATCTCAGGCTTCGCCACATGGAGCGACGAGGACTACATTGGACGAATATCACGTATCACTCGTAGAGTTGGATCATCTCGCCTCACCGCGATGCGAACGATTACACGCACATTGGTGAGTTACCGTAAGTTCTTTCGACGCCACTTTAAAAAGTGCAGTCACTTGTGACACTCCGGAGCTGAGCCCGCTGCTGGAAAATGCCGATGTCCAGGTCGCTGCCGACAGCAGTCGTTGTGTGTGTGTGTGTGTGTGTGTGTGTGTGTGTGTGTGTGTGTGTGTGTGTGTGCGATGGGCCCTGATTGCGCCGTGCTGGCAGGTTGGGTGCTTGGCTCCGGGGTCTGGGACTTCGGTTTAGGATATTTCGGCTAAGCATCTAGGCCTAATGGCCACAACATAGAATAACCGAAAGCTTACGTGCGCTTTTATTTATAACGTGCGGAAATCCTAGAACGTACCTAAAACCCAAGATTCGCTACATAAATTTGGACAGCAACCCTCGAGCATAAATTTAAGTAGCGTTTGAGGCTACAGGCGGTCGTGCTGAAATCAAAATAAACACAACCGCCAAACTTCCGACCCAGCCTAGACATCCTGACTCAGAAGAACCGCTTCTTCTTTCAGGATTGTACTGATAGCATTGTTACATAGTCGAAATAAGTACAGCGTTGACAATGGCCTTCCACAAACACCCATGAGTTGAGACTTACTGAAACTTGGGCTAGGGTACTGATGTCGCGAACTCTGCGAAGGTTTCGATGTGAGCTGGACATATTAAAGAGAAGTATTTTGAGGCTAGAAGCGCCGGAGCCATGGGGAATATTATTCTTCAGGGTTCCCTGGAGTCCCGAATGGATTCATGTTAAGTAACTAAGTATAATTAGTGCAATCCTCAAGCCCAGTCGAGTTTACAACCCTAAACCCTAAACTAACCCCTAAACCCACATCATGGAAGCACAACTCCTCAACTCATCTCAGACCCAGGATGCCACCCAGAATGTAATTGGAATATGGTTTTGGGGCCCATTGTACAAAACTTATAACAAGGAGCCCCAGTATTGGTAGTTGTTTCGGCCATATATTGCATTACGGTTGACGGGTTAGGGTTTAAGGTTCCGGGGTTTAGGAAGACTTACATGCTACACTAACTCAGCCAACGTGGGTACACACCGAACTCTGCATCCTAGCAGTCCAGGGCCGGGACGTAGATCCTGTGGGCCTGACGGGACGAGTCATGATACTATAGGGGCCTTAATAATTAGAATAGGGTTTTGGGGCCCTGTATACTATCATTATAATAAGGAATCCCCCAAAATAGTATAGGTAATTATTAAGGACCCTATAGTGCAGGGATTTAGGGTTTCTGGTTTAGGGTTTTGGGTTTCCCACCAACATCCTGCTTGTCACTAGGAGCAGAGCGTAAAGCAAAGACATCAATAACTGTCCTAACTAAGCGGTTGGACAGAGGGGCGACCGTAAACAAGGAAATGATGGCAAACTGGCACGTGCGAACACGACGGCCGCAACGAGAACCCAAACTGTAAACGGCTTGAGGCGAATGTAGCCCCCTCCGAAAGCCCCAAAACCTGAGCTACTGATCTGCGGCATTGCCTGGCCACGGCTGGGGGCTGGATTTTCGGCGGAGAAGCCTTGGATCGATGCAGAGCTACGTTTAAGATCTTCGGCAGTCCGGTGCGTCTCAAAATCTCTTATACGTCATAAGACTAAGAGCCCTCAGAGAACCCTAATGTAGGAATCTGATTAAGAAACCCTGGGCCTTTATTAGGGTTCCTTATATGAATCCTACTATTTTGGGGTTAAAGCCCCAGGATTTCTTAATCAGGTTCCTATCTAAACCGGAAAAGATGATTTGAAGGCCGGAGGCTCCAGTCCTTGAGTCAAACCGCTTAGTTGAAATCCGCCAACCCTGTTGTGCGTGCAATGATATGTGGCACTTATAGTCATTATAGTCCTTACTATACCCTACACACTCCCCGGACATGTTTAGCGTACGAACTTGGCTTGTGCGAACACTATCTGGCAAAGCCTTCGGCTGCTCCTGCTTCACTGCTAAAATCAAGCGCAGACGCTGCTTACAAACTGGACTCGAGTTGTTTGCTAGCCTCTCGCTATTGCACCCCATGGATGTCAAAGATCGGGTTACACAAGGCCTGAAGTTTCTCAATGTTCCTTCCTCTGTTCTGCTACGCGCCGAAATGCTGCCTTAATGTAAGGCAAATGTTCAACCAACCCCATTTCGGGTTGGCGATGCACGGATTAATGATCCATCGTACTTCTGAAAGAACACACACAGCACATAATTCTGCACCTGAGCGCTTCTCGACAACGTGCTCTCGGAGAAACTTCATCGATGTGTCTCAACAGAAACACTTTAGGTTTGAAGTTTGATGGTTAGTCGTTTCACAATTCTGGTGCAGTCGCATCGTCGCATACACGGGTTTGGGGTTTGAGCCTGGCTCACTCCGAAGCTCAAGCAAGAAAGCATAGGCATAGTCTCGACCAACAGCCCAACACACGCTTGCAGACAGTGTCTGAGGAAATACGAAACAATCGCAACACGGTCCAGGTCCGCAATGTTTAGGGATTGCATTGGGATTTGGAGCTACATCAGCTTTCCGGCATATCCAAGGGCAGCGCAAGCACGCCCGCTTGGCCTTGCAATGGGCAGGGCTTGGATGGAAAACATCCTATCAGGAGTGTTTTGTCCACCTTGCAGGGTTGTGCAGGGCACCAGAAGAAACCCACTTCGGCACTTCGGCCGCAAACACATGCTGCACTGACGGTGTCCCTGGGTTGAATACATCAACTTCCAAGGGGTCAAGGGTGCCAAAGTTCCAATTTTGCGCCCTCAGGTGTATGTAGGTATACAAGACTGCGCACACGCACACACCTACACATACACACATACATACATACGTACATACGTACATACGTACTTACATACATACATATACGCACATCCATACATACATAGATCATAGGTATGCATGTATATTTGTTCGCCTTTTTGTATAGACATACATACGTATGTAGTTGGAGCGGGTTTACCTGTTTATTCATGCTTCACCGTGGAGGGCTTCTATGGGGGACGGTGCTCAGAAAGCAGCTCCTGCTTACCAATCAATGCTAAGCGCACATCCGGAAGCAGGCACGATCTCCGAAGCCTAGATCATTCAAACAAGGCTGTCGTGCATCTCAAACCAAAACTGCTACCCCTGGCACGGTATTTCTGCTCATGCTCTTACACATCCCGAAAATTGATCCGGGATTGTGCTTCCGTGCAAATTGCTCAAGCCATTGCATAGCCCAGAAAACTTGATTCCAAAGTCGATCCCGCCTTTCTAAGGTCCAGGACCGCCTCGATCAGAACCTGTGTGCTCCATGTGTCAGCTTCAACCCTGCAAA